TTGGAGGGAGAGAGAAATATATTTAACTGACTTTTTTCCGAGTGTACATCCATACATACTATGTACATATGTACATACATACATACATATGTACACATTTACCTATGCATTTTAGATAGAGATTTTCTTTTGAGAAGATTGTAACTAAAAGCCAAACAAAATTCCTTTGTTTTTATGTACATATGTATGTATGTACATATGTATGCAACGACAATTTTGTTTAAACATCTTCGTGCCATGTAATTCAACCACACAAGCCAGTGAAGCCAACTAGATTAAATGCTTTGTGGAAACTTTTATTTTCAAATATACATATGTAAGTGTAGCGGACAAAATGGGAATCAAGAAAACAAGTAAATTAAATTAGATGCAGTCAAAAGTAGGCGATTACATTAGGGCATAAATAATTATGTATGAAAGATGCCTTAGTTAGCAATAGGTAAACCAAAATATTGTTGGAAATTTTGAATTTTTAAAATCGGATTCCAGATTCGTAATCAGCGACCTTCAGAACCCCCGGCTGTAAAGTTTAAAGCGAATCTAAGGGCCGATTTCATAATAAATTTAAAAAATATTTTAAAATTTAAAGGATGCTTTATTTTGCTGATCGATTTCATACAGCCACTTTAAAGATAAAGGTGCCCGCCCATAAAGGCTCTTTAGTTAAATACATAAAAAAAATTTTGATCATGTGTTATATGGAAGAAAATGCGCAACACCCTCCACAAAAAAAAATTCTAAAAATCAACGGTAATGTTTAGCGACTTGAAAATACTAGTAAATCCTTTCGAAAGTTAGCATAAATATATTTAAACGTATTAAAACGCAAACCCTCAAAACCAGGGTAGGCAAAAACTCAGAGTTCGAGGGAGCGAGCGAGCAAACTCCTACTCAATGCCTCGCAGGCAACGAGGCGCTCGCAGCTCGTACTCGTAGCCAGCGTTGCCAGGTTGCCGTTTTTAACGTCATTTGAACGTTTTTTGTATCCTGTTGACGTTTGGACGTTTTTTGTGTAAAAAATGACGTTTTTTAACTTTCCAGTAATTTTTCTCTGTTACTAAATCTTGTAAGTAGAACTGTTTTTGAATTATTTTCTTAATAAATCTTTACAAGGTTTGTGTTTTGCAGCAGCTGCTTCAAAAGATATTTATTCTTTGGACACAGATGACTTAAATATGATGCAAACCAATTGTACGCGCATTTTTTTGGATTCTTGGACAAAGGCTGGTTGTGTAAACACTTGAGGTTACGAGACTAATTCTAATGTTTGCAATTGCACATTAAAAGCCAAATCAGGAAGAGCTGATCTATTGCAACACGCACGCTCGCAAAAGCATCAAAAAAGCTGTAGCAGCATAAAAAGTCAGAAAAAAATAGGCGACTTTACTTCATTGAAAATGTAATGAACGCACAAAAGGCTGAAATATTGCTATACTCCTTCTTAGCAGAACGTAATTTAGCATTTTCGACAACCGACCCCCTAAACAAATGTCTACAAGCAAAAAAAAATTATTAAAAATCAACGCGATCATGTAGCCGCTTTAAACTTGCACATTATTCCCTGAAATTTAATGGGCTATCAAACTGCATACTCAAAAAAATTTAAAAAAAATCTGAACAAAAAGTTTAAAATATAGCTGAAACTTTGCAGATTTTTTATAATTTTTAAACAAAGTTTGAAATGTGGATTTATATTTTGTTTGTTATATAACGAGCTTGGCTTTTATGGAAAAATAATAAACATTAAATAAACAAAAGAAAAAAAGCCAAAAACGATCAAAATGTTGATGACTTAATCAGCTGATCACAAGTGTATGTATAAAATCATTTTTATATTAACGATCTCAAACCAGTTTAAAATGAATTCTAAGTGCTCTGTCGAAATGACATTTTAATATAATTTTACTGAGGTGATAGGTATATATCGAGCCCTAACCGCCAAAATAACGTAAGCGACATTTTTTTCAAAATTTTCTTTTTGATGCAGAACTATTCCTAGAGCATCAAGATGCATTTCTGCATCAAAAATAAAATTTTGAAAAATATGTCCTTTACGTTATTTTGGCGGTTAGGGCTCGATATGTACCTTTGTATACAATAAAAGTTTAATAAGAACAATTTTTTGTACATTCATTTGAAAAAGACGTTTTTGGGTAGGAAATGACGTTTTTTCAGACCAAGAGGGACGTTTTCTCATGCCGAAGACCTGGCAACACTGCTCGTAGCAGCAATGAGGCGAGGCACGAGAAGTTTGGCTTGCTTGGCAAACGAGCGAGCGCTGCTTGTTTCCTCGCACTCATGAACCGAAAATACAAGATCACGCCTTCTTCTTAGTAGCCCGTTATAATCGCATTTAGGAAAAAAGTTGGGCGACTTTGACATTAGCCGTTTGTTTACATTTGTTCGTTGTTTACAATTTGGTGGTGGCTTTTTACTGCAATTTTCTTAATTTTCGCTTGTGACAACGTATGCACACATAGGGTAAAGAATAATTTAACACACCGACATGATTTATAGAAGAATTTGCATAATAAAAATGATTATTCATGCGTTAAACAATTATGCGGTTTTTTTTTTCTCTTCGTTGTTTACTTCTTACAACAAAGATGGCGTCGAGATTTCAACAGCTAGAAAATAACTTTTTTCTTTCTTTCGGGAAGGCGTGATCTTCTGTCTTTCGTTCATGATAAGTGGTACTATTTGCAAATAAGTGCAAGACGCTGCCATTCCCAGGTTAATTTTCCTTTTCGATGGTCATCATATTGCCTTTTTATAATCAAGACGTTGACATTTTTTAACTTTATTTTCCTCTTTATAATCAGGCAATATTAACAAGTAAGAAAGTCTAAGTTCGGGCGGAGCCGAACATTAAATACCCGGCGCAAGTATTAAATATATGTTTTTTCACCTTTCCGAAACCTTCCGCTAGATGGTAAGCCGGGGTGTATCAATTTTGAGTAAATTAGCGTCCTTCAATTTCGAAATATTGAAGTTTCAAGCATTTCTGAAATTTACCGTTATATGAGAAGCGGCCGTTATTTTAGTCCGATTTCAATAATTTTCAACGTTTTGCTT